TTTGATGGGGGCTGTATATAATCTTGGGTATCCAGCTTAAAATTTACGTATTTATCCTTCCTTTTCAAATCCTATTTCGGCACTCACGTGAAAATATTTGGTACTTCAGTCAACTATGTACTTCCTACCAGGGGACAATTTTCGAGTCTGTTATAGCCACACGATTCCCGCCATAAACCACTCGAAACTCCAATATCTGCACTCGAACAGTGCAGCCTGACTGCGGTATTGAAAACGTGCAGCCCCTTTATAATAGCCAGATTTTCTTCCCGGCCCACGACAATAATATTTACGGCTTTTCGCCTAAATTCCAATTAAAATTGGATGGCTTAAAGTGCTCGCCTTGACTTTCTGCCACGACTTATTTTTACCATAGTGTTCGGGCTCGTCAGTGGTCGAAAAAAAAAGCGGAAAACAATATTCCGGCGATTTGAGCGCTTCTAAAAAATGGATAGGCCACCTTCGCATGTGTTGGCCACTGCCGAGCAATTAGAGTTCTACAGCGGCTGACCGCTAGAAATACACGAAAAAAATGCACATCAGGAAATAGAGCAGGGAAAAAAGCGGAAAAATGGAGGAAAACAGCATGAATGAAAGGAAAAATGCACAGCAAAGTAGAAAATCGCACAATCAAAACGAAACTGCTGACCAGCATCGATCTCTGACGACGACGACGAATCGGAATCGAAATCGGAATGGCAATGGCTATGGGAATCGGAATGGGTGTATGTACACTGGGAATAATACATACAATATATCCTAATTAGGTAAACGAATTAAAATATTTTTATGATTTATTTAAAACTTAGAAATGGATTTGTTTTAACATTTTTTAAGGATACTTAATTGAAGTTGTCGCCAAAAGTCTGAACTCAAAACCCACTCTAGCATAAGTTTTGATGTTTTTTTTGAATGGTTTGAATACATAGTTTAAACTTATTTTACAACGACTGTGCTATAATAATATAATATTATTATTATATTATATATTATATAATATTATATTAATATTAATATAAGTAACTGATATGATGAAAGCTTATCCTTCTGTGATTGAATAAATTCAAATTTAACCGATTGCTTCCAAGGAAAACAGTAATTAAAAATATGTAATAGTTAAGCAAGTAAATCTTTAAAATATATTTTGCACTGTGCAAAGAAATGGTAGCCGATTCTAGAGCGCTGTGGGCCATTAAAGTGTGGACGTTGTAGCCATCGGGAGCTGAAAAACGGGGAATTCGAAAAGGAGGCAAGGAGCTATCGGGTGAAACCCGCAGCCGCAGAGTCACCGACATGGTAAAAATTCATGTTTGCCAATGTGTCCTTCCAACGTTCGATTAGAGTGTGAGTGTGAGCGTGTGTCTCTGTGTGAGTGTGTGTGGTGTCCTTCTAACTTGTGGTGCGTTGTCCTATTTACGTTGTCGTACTTCATGCATTTCAATCACCAAACACAACACAATTTAAATATGCTGATTGGGTGGCTGAAATTTCGGTTGGTCGCCAGCCTCGCCAGGGACATTGTTTAAGCCCGATCCGCTGGGTTGAGGCCATCTTTAATTGGCTTTGACCATCTTTTTTTGTTGCTATATTCGCCCATCACTGCTGTTTCGGCGGTGGCCATAAATTTTGTTTATTGATGAGCTGCATTGCACCGCCACATGTGACATTGCTTAGCCGAAAATAATTTAATTAATTTTTGTTTGCGCTTTTCAGCTTAAATTCCTGTTGACATGCGAAATGGCTTTTTATAATTGGCTTACTTCGCTACGATGTTCGTGGTTTTCCTGTGCTCCTGTTCCATGAAAATATATGGTTAAAGTGCTTTCAAGCGTGCCGAATTTATTAGCTAATGGTGTTTATGGAATAAAGTAAGATCTGTGTGTAACTTATATTAAAAGTTACCTTAAAGGTACAATTAAAAACAAAAGTAACAAGAACAAAATTATTCTGGAATAAATTTCGAACTCCTGCATCGAACTCATAAGATAATCATTTAATAAGCTCTGAATTTCAATCAGCCTGAGACAAAGAAAATACTTATTGAGTAATCACACTAAATCCATCGAATCCGAATCCGATGAACTTTTTCCCGTTGGTAATAGAGAGTGATCCGAGTATACACCTCTGATTTCCCCCGACGATTGCAGAAGGGGTTGGAAGTTGGCGGAAAATTCAGTGGAGGCGTCGCCGAGCTAATCTGCTCGCTGTCAAAAGTCATTGGAACAATTCGAAATGACAACAAATATGGGAGTCGCGCAGAGATACAAAGCACCTACATCTGTATGGAGTACGAAATCTGCCAGGGGGCGGGTCTAGGGATTGGAAAAACTTGGAGCAAACGAGAAGCGAAAACTGCTGACAGTTGCATAAACAATAAAGGCAGACCCCCCCGAAAAAAAGCGAACCCAGCCAGCGAAACGAGCCAACGAATGCGGTCAACATCAAAAGAAAGGACACAGGAGGAAAAAAAAAAAAAAAAAAAAAAAAGTGGAAAGGAAAGAAAGGAAAGGGGTGAAATGGCGGAAGAAAGGGGCCGGCGAAAAGAAAGCGAAACGAAACTAGAACTATTACTGCTACTGCAACACACATGCAACGAGTGGCAAGTGTGGGACTGGCTTCCATAACATCCACCTACCGATTCCGCCCATCCACCTCTCATCTCCATGATGGCTAGAACAACAATGTGACATTTTTTCCGCTTTGACGACAATTTCCCTCGCGGCACAAACGGCAGCGGGAGCGAAGCTACAGCAACAGCAGCAATGCAACACCATCGCCATCGTCACTGCCGAAACTAAAGCTATATAGCTATGGCAACTTAACGATACAACGGGAGTGGAGGATCCCAAAAACAAAGAAGGAATTCCTGATCTCAAGTTATAGTTTCAAATACCCTTATGGTTTCGGCATTACTATATAAAAAATATATATTTGTCATCTATTTCTTACTATGTTTCATGCCTTAAAAAAGAATGTGGTATAAAAGCAAATGTACAATTAATAATATTTTTTTAGTTTGCTTAAAAAATAAATTCGTCTTATTTAATAAGCTTCAAATTATTATCATTTATGCTTAAAATATTTATGGTGCACTAATTCAGCATTCAGAACTATTTGTAACATATATTTCGATCTTGATCAATTAAGAAAATATTCGGCCATATGCAAAACTATTCAAAAGATATAATGCTCCAAGGAAGAGTAAGATAAAGGGAAGTCCAGAGATATAGTGGATGTATATCAACATGTGCAAGGAGCACTGGCAACAGGATTCGCAGGGCTCTTCATTTCAGCATTCCCTGCCTGCCTTTGCCCGTGGATCACAAAAGCACGAAATTGATTGTGTAAATAAGAAAACGAAAATGTCGTTAGTTTACGTTTTCCGCTGACAAGCTTTTGAAACTGGCCAAAACCCAAAACCCAGAACCCAGTACCCAGAGCACGGAAAAGGGGAAAACGGACTGGCGACTGGGAATGCAGTGGCAAATAAAAGCGAGATGATGCAGAGACCAAATGGCGTTGAGATAGACAAAGAGTGCGACGAAATTAAAAATGGAATTTACTCGTTAGTCGCATTTCCAGTTTATTGCCAACTGACTTTGATGCGAGGCATTATCGGTGAAAAATTGATAGCTGCCGCTCGAAAGGAATCTTAGCGATTGCAAACGGATAGAGTGGAAAATTGCACAAAAGCATTTTGCAAGAAGCATCGACAATTGGCTGACAGAGTCAATGAATGAGTCAAAAGTGTACAAAATGTTGAATAACCATTTTCCTTCTAGAAGCCTCCTTTTGATTTTAAATAATTCATCGAAGATTGTAAATTGACCTTGGCCACAAGTTAAAAGGCCAATACAAATGGCTGAAGAAACTATATGAAATACTCTAGAAGGTCTAAGGAAGAAAATAAACATTGAAAGTTTGGTGAGTGCGAAAAGCACCGGAAACAAAAGGAAATAGCAAGCAAATAATTTAACTATCCTTGTGGTGCTTTTCTAGCCGACTATCTTTGAATCCATTTTGAACCGACTATCGGTCAGTTGGCATTCCACTTGCCTTCCTAGGAAGTTAGGAAATGTGGTTGTGGACCTTTTTAAAATTCCAAAAGAGCGTTTCCGGTGTCGTTTTGCAGAAACACACAGAAGAAAAAAAGGCTTAAGACGATATTATTTTAATATTTGGGATGTCTGACTTAAAAAAAAAAAAAGTTAGTAAATTAAAATATTATTTATTTTTTATTTTACACTGTATTCCTATGTTAAAACTTAGGTTACAGGGAAGGGGAAACAGCCATAGCTGCTGGGGCAAAATTAAAATATTATATTATACAGTTTTATGGAAACCTAAAAACATTTTCATTTGTAGATGAAACTATTTTATAGATATTTCGAAATATTTTTATATTGTTTCAAAATTTTGCAAGCCATTTTTTTCTTTTAATTTTTTTAAGATATTTAAATGAAAGCTGAAAGTTTTTCTTTAGGCAGCTCACAACCCACGTTCTATTCCCTTTTGGCGCCACCAATTTCTGGCATCAGTTCAAAGACGCCTGTGCAGCATTTCCCCCTTGTTTCACACAATCCCCGCAGCCCCGCCTTGGGCTACTTATGCCCATCGCTGGCTTCCAAATTGAATGAAAGCACATTTTGATTGAAAAGGAAATTTACGGTGAACTTATATAGACTCGGACAGGAACCGCAACAGTTCGAAGGACTTGGGGCACCTCCTGCATAGTCGCTTCAACAGCCAATGTAGCGTTGGCCGTCGCACCTCCCGGCGGATTTATCAGTCAATGTTTGAAAATTAGTTAACGGGTGTGCCCCAAAGTTTTTTTGCACGCCAACTTGGCCAAGAAGTTCGTTTCGCCCACCAAAATATTTAAGGCTCAATGTCCAACGAAAAAGGAAAACAAGGCCAGGGATTTCTTTGGTTTCGTTTAATGTAAAACGGAAAACCTCAAGCGTTTGAAGTTTATGCCTGAAATTAATTTAAGGTTGGTCAGGAGAAAGTTTGGTAATTAACCTTGAAGAAATACGGATTTCAGCTAAATACAAATTTAATTTAATGTTATAGATCTAAAAACTTTATTTCACATAGATTAATTTAGATAGATTATGATTTTTGAATACATAGTGTTTTTAAAGCTACTATATAGACACAAGTTCCTTTATTTTTATAGTCACTACATTATGTTTTAGATTAATGCGTATAAGAATAGATTCATTTGATTACAATTATTTCTACTCGCTGTGCAATATATACTTTAACAAATTTTTATAAACTCGAAAGTAAAACTAAAGCTGTAATGGATTTGTTGTGCCCTCTGGTCCAGAAACCTTTTCATAGAAATTATAAAATCAAGGTATTAATTTTGGCTTGTATAAACTTTGTTTAGGAGTAATTAATTTGGGTAATATGTATAGTTCATAATTTGTATTTTAGGTACTTCTTGACATTCCTGACACATACAACGTATACTAAATATATATTTTTTGATTAATTGATACCATTCAAAGCACATTCATTGAGATATATTTGATCATATTTGCAAATATTTTGTGATTCTTGTTTGACAATCGTTTTCGACATTCTATCCTGCTTAAAACGTATCCCTGCAAGTTCCCTTATTCCAGTTAATTATATTTTTTAATAAATTGTCACTGCAACACACATGCAACGAGTGGCAAGTGTGGCAAGAACGGCCTGGACCGAAGCTTTTGCTTCAACCATGTTTCTACACAAAATTGCAAAAATGTGCTTTTCCCACTTTTACATTTACCCAATACATTTGTTTACCCAAGACAACCACCATCGCCGCCTCCACTTAGACACGAACCAAGTGCAGCCGGCAACTGTGGAAGCTAATTCTTACTGTTTCCACTTTTGGGCGTGTTAGCCAAATTGGTTGCCGGTTCCTGCAGTGGAACCCATTGGGCTGTAGCATTTTTAGCGCGGAAAATTTCTTCAAAAAATATTTTTTCCTCTGTACGGACCTCGGGGGAATTTCCAATCAAAGTGCGACCCAAAATTTCACTTGAACCTGCAATAAAAATTTTACGAAATTTCGTTAAAGTGATTATCTCAACTAATTTTTTTCATTTTAATATATATCAAATAATTTTTTTCTTACCCAACAAACCATCGTGGACCACGGTGAATTCCAATACACAATTTTTGAGCGTTTCCTTGGCCACATCAAAAGCAAGGGCTTCATTGAAAACTGGGTTGAGAGTGCCCCTTTGAACGCCCGTCTTGCGTTTCTTCATCTTTTTGCCACCAGGTCCAAGGAGAGTAACCTTTACATACGGATCCGAAGAATTCCGGGCATCGTCCACAATTCTCAGATTTCGAGCCTTAATCAAAACCACCATCAATCGTTCTGCAGATGGCAAGTAGGCCAAGGACACCATAATATCTCCCAGATCGACTTTCATATCTTGAGCAGAGGCAGAACTTAGTGGAGTCCAAAGTTTCAGTTGCTCACTCAAATCCAAATTGGCCAAGTGCAGCTTGGCTCCTCCAATGCAAACGTGACGGGAATAGGCATCAAAATCGTACAGCAAAATCTCCACAGTTCGTTTGTCAATTACTCCGGCTGTGACCTCAAAAACGAATTGTTCGTCGAAAACTGGAACAGGAATTATTTGTTAATTTCAAGCACTTTTTAAGTTATTTAAATATATAAAAATATTCACCTGGGTTCAGAGTTCTCTTGTGTATGCGCGTCTGCCAAAAATTCTTTTTATCCGGAAGCAACCTTACTTTAGCGTAGGGATCAGCAGTTCCGCTGAATTGCCTGGGCTGAAGATTTTGAGCCTCCAGGAGTCTAACATTTAGCAAACCTCCAACTGGATCGTAGCCAATGCTCACATGCAAATTACCACGAACTTCATTAAGGGAAACCGGATTAATGGTCTTTGGCTGAGAGTGCTGCAAAATAGTAGGAATTAGATATGAAAATAATATTTTAATTAAAAACTTCACCCTTTACTTACACTTCTATACAAGGTCATATCGATCTTCGTGTGATCCAATTTGGCATTCATGGAGGAAACTCTTGGGCGGCTGGGATGCATGGCGAGAACCACATGTTTATCCGATCTGGCAATGGGAACCGAGGTGGTTGAGCAGTAGGACAAGGTGTTGGACTTCAAACTGCCGGTGGGTGAGGTTGGAGTTGGTGGTGCCGACTCCTCGGTGGTGTTAGACACCTGTTGCTGGATGGCAGCCGTAGAGGTCACCGATGCGGGTACCCAAAAGGCCGGGTCATTGTCCTCGCTTTTTAGAGAGGTGGGGCTCAGGTTGCCGGCATTTCCACTGCCGAATTTCCCACGCGGCACCTCGTTTATGTTGTCCACATTGTAGCCCACGGCTCCAGCTACCAAAGCTTCCCTGCTGAAGTGAAAAGAAAACAATTGGACACATTTTATATACGGTTAGTACCACCTGGGGTGCCTGCCAATTTCGAATTTTTGTTGAAAAAATTTAAATTACCCTACACCGGTTCCGCATTTTCGCAACGAGAATTTACCCAATTTACGCTTCTTTCCTGCAGGTTATTATTGAGTTTGACAATAATAAAAAGTTGTTCATTTGCTCATTTTTATAGGATTACTTTTTAAATCGAATTTTAAGAGTATTTTTTTTCGTTTCAAAAGGCGATATTATACTCTTTGTTAAAGATTGACAAATTGTAGATAAAAGATAATAATTATGTTTCTAAGCTCTTACCTCTGCTGATCTTCATCCTTTTCGTTGGCCGACTCAAGGAGATTCTGCTCAAACCAATTTAGCCGATACCTTTTCGAGCAAGTGGTGTAGAGGGCTGCACCAACTGCTGAAACTACCAGAAAAGATACCGAGGCGTAGACGCCAATCTGGGCCAGCGAAATGTCCTCCTCACGTATGACAATGTCCATTTCTACTGTTATGGGTTAATCTGCAAGAAAAGAAATAAAGGGGCTGGGTCAAGGAATGCACCAAACTCCTCACACAAATCACATGAGATGCCAACGTGGGTCAATTACACGTCATGACCCCATATTGACATCCCACCACCTGGCTAATGACACCCAAACTAGCCATAAAACATTCATTAGCAAGTCAGAACCCTGGGTTGTGTGTGCTTGTTTGCCTCATAAATAAATCAAAGCTCGGCACCCCACGTCCGAAATTCATCTTCTCCGTTCGCAGGCTTTGTGGGTTATTAATTGAGCGGCTTAAGGCGGCTTGTGGGTTGAGGTTGGGGCACCGCAGAATCCTGACCAACGGCACGTGCTGACAGTTCCCCACCAGCTTCATGGGTGCCACCATGTGGATAATGAAGGGGGTGCGGGGCATTGTCTTTGTTAAGCCGCAGCCACACAAAATTGCCATAAAGGCGCCTCGGCCTCGGTTAGTTCGCAATTAGCCGAGCAAACTGCCAGGTGACCCTCATCCCAGGAGCACCTACAAAACCTACAAAACCACCAAATTACACCCACACTTGAAACAAAAATACAGAGGGTAAGTGTTTTTGCAGTACTTTTAACCACTGCGACAATTTTTGTACCTCTTTAAAGACAGCAAAATAAATCTATTTTCATTAAGGAAATATATAGTTTAAGCTATGCTTTTTGCGCTTGAATTAAGTCACACCTGATATCCGTTGAAGATAAAAACTACAACAAGAATTCCTTCATTTATTTGTTGCTATTCCTTTTCCTGTTTAGTTTTTTGCTGTGCAAAAGAAATGTAAAGAACGCAGTGAGCTGCCAACAAAATGAAGTAATTTCTGTTGGTGAAGCAAAAATTTATTACCGACTTGTTAATTAATTAGTATATTTATATTTGAAAGCCTCCTTTGGATGAGTCCCGCTTTTACTCTATTGCCTCAGAACCTTTCCCCAACCATCCGCACCCTTTTTTCTGCCCAATTTCGGCAAATTTACTTTTCGCTCATTATTTATTTACGGCCAACTTTTGTTTTGGGTCTACGCTTTCTTTTACGGCAATTGCACGAGGTGAGTGTGCGGGTCCAATTCCCTGTTTCCCTCATCCTCTTTAGAATTCTGGCGAAATCTTGGGGCAATGATTTATATGCCCTTATGTGCAAATAAGACAGTTCGAGGCTAAGTGAGCGAATTTTCTGGCCTTAATGTGGCTGCGCGGCAAATTTATGAAATTAGTTCTTGTTTAAACTTTGACAGTTGCGAAGATAAGCTGCTATCACATAATTCTTCTTAAACATAATGAATTAAATGCAAAGAAGAGGATCCACATTTAAGCGCTATAATGGACTTTGCAGTGGCATTTTTTGTTACCAGTCAATCGCCTGTAATCCTTGCGAAATATGGCAAAATGCCATCGAACTGATAGCGCCCACCTTGATGCCAGCTTTTGTGCCGCGTAAATCACACATAACCCAATCAATGTCAAATTGAGCTGATCGCACAGCCACGCCCCTCGTCATCAGTCAGTTATTCCGCCTCCATATCCTGTCAGTCATGTCCTGGCACTCGCTGCTGGCAAAAATGTTTGTCCCGGCACATGTTGCGATGTGACTTAAATGAAATGTCATACCCTTTTTAGAGTTTGGGGATTAAAGTTTTCAGTTGAATAGAAAGATGTACTTTTAATTAAATTGGCTCCTTCTAAGTAAGGCAGATAACCATGGCTGCTAAAATGATTCATTCAACGTTAATTTAAACTTTCAAATTATATCTCTCAAATAAAAGTTTCAGATGCAAAGTTGCTGCTAAGTAAATTATGAAAAGTGCATGTAATTTTTAAATGAAATCCTGAAAAAGACTGCACAATCAAAGCCACAAGCAAAAATCCCATCCTAGCTTGACTTCATAAAAAGCCCATTCATATCTGTTATCCAGTTGAAAGGCTTAGATGAGGTGAGGGTATTTTAAAGAATCCGTGCCACGCTTTTCACTCCGTTTTCCCCCTGAATTTCCCCGGTATTTGCCAACATGTATCATCCACACATGTGTGGGCTTGTGGGCATAGGGATTTATTGCTCCTGTCATAAATTTTAATACAAAAACCGCGCTTTGGCCCTTTTGGGCCGTCCGCCTGGCATTCGGTTGGCTTTGTAAATCATTTTGCGGCTTTTATCGTGCACATTTTCACTTTTCGCTGGAAAAGCTAGATAAGGCCGCACTACTTCCGCCTGCTTTTGGTTTGGTTTTTGTTGGCGTCGCAGCAAAGTCAAGGGCAGCAATGCGTCCCGCCAAGTTCCATAATATGTTGTCAGAGTGACTAAAATTAAGTTTATCTAATCGATAAAATCAACAGCATGGTTCATTGCCTGCCTGGGAAAACGGTGAGTGTGTGGGAACAGCGAATTCCTGTGATTTCACTCGACTTCAGCCGGCGATTTCATCATCCTCGCTTAAAAAATTAATAGATAAAGATGCCTTTCAGCGGTCGCAGCGCCTTTGAATGGCACAATTATGGCAAATTATGCTCATTAGTCTAATGAAGTGTTTTGTGACTCAAAGACCCGTGGAATGCCCCCAGTTGGCATTCCATATCCACGCCAAAACCACGCCCTGCTGTCTCTTACAAAAGAATGCGGACAATTGCAGTTGTCAGCAAAGTAAACACCCTATTATCCTGTTGCCGGGGAAGTTTTGTGATGTGAGGTCCGTCGGACAGTCAGATAAATCAAGAAACGAGAAGCAGTCATTAAGAAAATTCTTCTTTTAATCTCATTGGGAGAGGCTCTTTTTACGTGTTGAAAAAAATAACTTAAAGCTGGCTATGTATATTTTCCCACTATATTATTTTAGTAGATAGTTTCTTTTTAAAGCCAACTTGTTTTGATTGAGCGGAAACAGCTCTGCTCATGAAAACCAGCTTCATTAATGCACCAAACAAATTCCATTAAACTATCACTTTCCTGGATAATAGGAAGCACTCTGCTCATATCCTTCCTGCCTTCCGCCGGCATTGTTTGGCTTATCCTGCCGTAGAGTATTGCAAAAGCATTCGCCAAGTGCTGACTGCACACCTGTCCTGGCAACAGTAATTAGATTACGACACCGGGTCCACGAGGATGCGCGTGTTGCTTTCGTCCTCTATTTTGCTGGACAAAAGAGTGACAGAACAAAAAGGTGGACTTGTTTCCGTTGGTTTTCTCTCACCAAAAAAGCGTATTTATGTATTTAAAACAAAGAACTTGCAAGGATAATTAAACCAAAAAACCAACTCCAATTTAATACAACTTTGCTAATTTATGCGAATACTTTCTCGTTCTTTTTTTTTAGTTTTCATTGCAAATTGGTTTGCTTGTAGGCGAAAACTTATGAAGGCTTCCGCCAACCTGGAACACCTTCAACTCCTACCCTTGTTTAGTAAAGCACTAACTCATCTATTGCAGTTTTTATACTGGGTCCCCCCGACCTACAGATGGAAAAACCTTCGGTGTGCATAAACAAGCAGATGAAGTTTAGCCAACATACGCGGTCCGAGGGACACGATGGCCTCCAGAAGGCCGAGTTGACGGATGCGGAGGTCCTGGCCGTCAATAATCAGGCATCAGCAATTTGTAATACTCGGCGTAATGGCACAGTCGAGGTGCAAGTTTATCCACATCGGCAACATCATTATCATCTACTTTGTCCTTCGGCTGGGTCTTCGTAATGTGTCTGTTTTTGTTACTCGAGTTGATTATCCCCCACCAATGGCAGCTTCACTTGTTGTTGGCGTTGATGTTGTTTTTGTCCTCAATGTCAATGGAATCAGCGGGGCAAATTGGCGACTGACCCCATCGCAGTCTTGGCTAATTAGCCATCAATGAATATTTATGGCTTAGGATAGGGATAAAAGGGATAGAGACTGTAAGCAGTTGAGAGCTTTCTGGAATCAGTTGACAAACACAAACTGAGCGAGAAATGGAAAAGGTTACATTAAAAAGCTAAAAAGTTTTGTACCCAAGAATATTTAACTATTCAATCCTTCACATAGTTCTAAGCTTAAAAACTTTACAAAATTCAAAACTCTTAGGTCAACAAAAGAATTCCATTTAGAAGCCGATTCCCCACAATCCTTTCATTTTCATTTGAGCCCTGAATATGCGATAAAAGCTGAATAAAAGATCCCATTAAAATCAACAGCCATATGTCAATTCGCCACAGGCCATTAAGCCATGATACCCAACCAGTGGGACACAGAAAATATTGAAAATAAAAAAAAATATAAGAGAGAAAGACTGCAAAGGCAAGATAAACAGCAATTTAATAAAGTGACCCAGGGTTATGCGCCTCAGTCTAAGGGCGAGAGCATAAAAATAAACAATAAAACGCTCATTAAAACGCTGAAAATGCCCAAGGAGTAAACAACGGAAAATGTTTACATGCGAACTCAGGACTCAGGCGAAAAAAAAGAAAGAAAATAAATAATAAAGGAAAAAACATGTTCTGTCGTGGGTTACGGAAATAATAAGTGTGATATTAATACTCGTTCTTGGAACAAAAGGAAACCCAACCACACACACACACACACCCACATGGCGAACCCACAAAAAGGAGCCCACCCATTGGTGTGCCAGAGGCTAAGGAGCTGCCAATAACTCAACAAGTTAACAAACATGGCCGACTGTGAGCTCCTTTATGGCCTCGTCAATGTTGGATGCGGGTTCAGGCGACGTTTTTGCATTAAAAATGCATTAATCTTTGGACACGTGATAAATATTCATGGCTCCTCGGCACCCAGAGATGACTATAATAAATGCATTTCTTTACTGCAGCCTGTTGACTGACTGGCACGCAGTATCCCAAACAGAATGTTTGACGAAGGTCGCCAGTAAAGAGCTTCGCTCGGTAACGAAATGGAGGTCGGGGGTCACGGCCAAATGCGGGTGATTCAAGGACATGCTTGTTGTGTTTGAGTGGCTCACTGGCAACGTGGCCGAGTCCTAACTTCTCCACCTGGCCAAACAGCCCGCGGCAGAGAAATTTCGAACGAAATCCTTACTGCAAACGGAATGCGGAAAACTGCGGCGAAGGATCCCGCATATGTTCAAGTACACACATTCGCCAACGTTCTCGACTAATTAAATTCAAATACCTCCGCTTGGAGGAATTTATCACAGTCACTGCACACAGCGTTCCACGTGCCGTATACGCAATGCAATCACTTTAATCAGTAATCATCTGAAAAGTGGGTGAAAGGGAAACTCATTTTCCAAAACAAACAATTATAATGGATAAGACGTACATTGTTATAACTCAAATTAATCATATTAAACGATATTAAATGTGCAGTATCTTTAGATACTTGTATCGCATTTTTTGATAAAGGATTTATAAATTTAAGTTTAAAAAAAACCTAATCTTTACGTATCTTATTTTAATTTGATTCGTACTGACTGAAAAAGTTGTTGTTCAGCGAAAGTTAAACGCAATTCCCTAAGTAGACTAATTTTCTTTCAAAGAACATTACCATAATGTTTTTTGCCAACTCCTGTGAGAATACATGAAAAAATTGTACTTTCTCTCTCATCTCCGATTTCACAAAAATTTCACTTTGAATCTTTCTCGAGAAAAGGAAGCGGAACTCTTCACAAGAAAATTCTAAAGAAAATTCACCAACTTAACTTTCACAATAAAAGTTTGCCAGCTTATATTTCCTTCCTTCTCTAGAAAATCAATTTACTTGCTCAACAAGTTCGAATTACATTGGCTCAGCAGAAGCATTGTCCCATAAAGACAACAATCAGACATCAAAGCGATAAAACACATCAAATATGGAGTGGCTTGTTTTCCAAACGTGCCTTAACTATTTGTCAATTCATAACACAGAATTTGTATGCAAATTGAGTTCACAGAAATCAAACAGCTGTATCAGCACTTACCCGTTGAATATTCGAAAAACGGTGACACTGAGCCGAACAAAACTGTGCCAATAAGTTTCTGATTCAAATTGCTGCGTGCAATTTCTCGCAACAATATGTTTGCGAAATCCTTTTGGATGGTCCAACGTGGCGTATGCGCAATTTGCTCTACACCGAGCAGCGCATACTGTACGTATGTTTTGGGTCCTTAACGAGTTTTCGAAACAATTTCCTTATTAGCGGGCTTTCATTTATTTTTAATTCAATAATCCCCTGCGCACACTGGTCAATTATTTCAATAAATTCATCCAAGCGAAGAGATAAGTGGAAGCGGTTGAATTTTTCCTATTTGCTCACGCGCCTCAACAACTTGGTTGGAGCGTTGCTGAAACTCGACTGTGTTGTTGTTCACCAAAAATTACACGCAGTTCCCCGATGTCATGTTCCATCACACTCACACTTTCGCAAGCCAAAACACAGATGGGCCCATGGAAGCACACAAATGCAACTCGGAATCTTCGAGTCCTCAAAGGGCAAATTCAAAACATTTTTCCAAAGAAAAATTTTTTTAAAGCTTATAAATACGGTTCATTAATTCTCAAACTTTTAGTAATAGTTAATTATTTACTTTGGACCGGCTACTTTGGCCGAAATATATGCTACGGGCGGAAGTAAAAGCCAATTTTACACAAAAGCTTTCTAACGAGCAACAGCTGGCCCATTTTGTAAAAACGCCCGCCAAATCCCAAGCGGTTTGATTTTCAGAGCCTTGCCAGAAAACTCAAATTTTCACAAAGCTTTTCAGGATTACAGTTACTTATAGCGTTGCCACTTTGTTTTTTTTTTTTAATAATAATTTGATTTTTAAACAAAAATATTTTTCCAAAATATATGACCAAAAGTCAAAAGTTCAAAGCGCCAATTAAAATGAATTTAATACAAATTAATATATCACGATGAACTGCACTTTTAGACACAATCAGCAGAGGTATATTATATACATTTTTTTCCAAAAACAAAATTAGATTGTGGGAAAAAATCAAAGAGCGTGTAGTATTTTAATGACGTTGTGATGGCCTTGATTATGGCGTATTATAAGAATAATATTCGTATTATATATAATTCTTGGGAAATATTTTTGATTAATCTGCAATACTTACATTAAAAATAAATCACACCATATTTTACTAACTGAAATTCAAAGGGAATTAATGTAAAAGTTTTAATAATTGGGAAATCTTATGTATGAGTAATCTAAATTCCCTTTCTAGGTAGATTACAAATCGAAACATTTCCGACCGTGGACTTGACAGCACTTCTAGAGGTACATAAGTACTTGTAGTTTTCAGGCTTATCAAAAACATTTTGCAAAAATCCGGCACGAAATAATTTTTTCTTGTCACAATCGCGTCTACACTTTTTTAGACTATTTTAGAAGCACTAAATTCCCAAAAAAAATTGACTCATGATCTGATGTCACGTAAAACGAGAATGATAACCCAATATAAGGCGCTCACGTTGTGCACGAATTTTAATTTTTTATTTCTGTTCAGCTGTTCTTAGGCTGTTTTTCTTTGCTTTACTGATATTTGATACCATTGTATCTACTCAAGTTTTACCTCAAAGTCAAAGTCAAGTTACCTAACCCAGTTAAATAGCTCGAAGTACTTTCGATTACGACTGCGAACATTTTTTGCGGTTTTAGATTGAACATGATGATGCTGATCTTAACACTGAACCACTGCCATATAGAATTACCAATCGTTGTAAAAACCACGCATTAAACTTGAACTCAATTGAAAATAATAAATGTTCAACAACAATTAAATGACGTCTTTAGAAATCATTCAATAATATTTTGTTGTTTTTATTTCAAAAATATTTTTGTTGTATATGGCGTAGTTAAGACAATTCCCTAAGCTTTGCAAGATTTTTATTTTACAATACTAAGATGGGACTTTCTTTTGCGTTTTGCGTTTTGTCTGGCGCCCTTTTTAATGGTGAATTAAATAGACAGACAATTTCATCAGCCCTTTTCTTTCGTAAGATTGTCTGATTAAATATACTGACATTATAAGAAACACTTACTTTATTATAGTTCAAATAGTTCAAAAGCGTGTCATCAATTTATTCATTCCAATTTCAAGTTCAAAGTTGTATTCAGCGATAATATTGAAGTCATTATCTCTGTTCCCATTTAGAGCCTTCGCAAATTTAGAGCAAGCGTCAGAGGATCCAGACTAATTTTTGTTTTCAGTAGACTTTTAACGCGTTAAAATTGTTTTGAAAAATAAATACAGGCTATTAACCCAAAATTTATTTTGATTGCTGTAATGACTTGCGATCAAACGGTTCGAATACGTAATTGTTTCGCCCGATGCACGTTTGACTTGTGCCAATAAATCAATTGTAATGCTGATAAGCTCGTTAAACGATTCCCTTTTAAATAATTGTCGGCCCATTAAAATTGTAAGGTAAGTATTTAGCTCACAGAGCATCCAGTTCATAGAGAGTATAGAGCATCTTATGCTCATCTTCCCAAACATGCTAGAAAATTGAGTCACACGCATATGCGAGTGTCCAATAAAATAAATGTTACCCAATCTCCCAATCTCAGTGCACCGACTAGCCCTCCCATGAATATTGATACAAACAAGTTTGCCTATATGTTTATATAAATAAAAAACGATCTGGAATCACTTCGTTTTTCCAAACCCGAAGTCTTATCACCGGCGATCGGCTTTGGCGATCGATTCACGTGTCGTCATTTATAAAACGATTACAATCCAAGGCATGAATGACAATCCAGTGCCGGTGGCTGCACAAGACACACAAGACCCCAGAAAAACTGGAACTGAAACCGATCGAGCATAACTCAACTCGACTCCAGACAGTCTGAAGTGATCGTGCGGCATTACAAATCGTTGTATCAAATATTCGCAAAAGTGAAAGTAATTACTCGCAAAATGTCATCGGCGTTGTCGAACCTCTTGCAAACGCTGAGGATTGTGCCCTTGGGACACGGAAAATCCAGTAACCAAGTTGTGGTTGTTTCGAACCAAAAGGAGCGCCTAAAGCTGGAAGATCTGCCGGAAATTAGTTTGGAGGAGGTGGCCCAGCACGATAGCTTCGATGATTGTTGGGTGGTGATCTACGACAGAGTCTACGACGTCACCCACTTTTTGAGGGGATCATCCTGGCGGCGATGATGTGATAATGGATCACGCAGGACGAGATGCCACCATCGCCTTCCACGGAACAGGACATTCGAGCGACGCCATCGAGCTGATGAAGGATTTCCTGATCGGGCAACTTCCCACCAAGCAGCATATTTTTCGCACTGGCAAAAACAAGGTTTTGTCCCTGGGCATACCGGAATAATGTCAGCCGATCCCGCTTTGATCGCTCTCGCCGCCGTCCTCTACGTACTATTATGTCTATATGTCTATATGTTTTAGAGTATTCATCGATTTTGTGTCTAATTATAATCAGCTTTTTTCGCACTTGCAAAACGGCTTTTGCTTAATCATCAAAAACCATTCAGCAAACTATGTATATTTATATGGTGTTGTATACTTTTATCAAGACTTGAAACGGAACTAAGATTAAATTATTTTAATTGTGACTGCGTATTTTTAATATTCGCTGATTAAAAGTGGTTGGGTTGGAATTGTTTTAGGTTCTTGAAATATTAGAGAATTATTTCTAAAACAAATAATTGAATTTTGTAAATACGGATGGCTTAAATGTATTTTCTTTAAATACCTTTTCTTTTTCCATTAAAGGTAGCAACTTATCTAGTTTAATAATACTTTATTTGGTAATATTCATCTTACACATACTGGTTGACATCATGCAAATGCACAAATAAGAAATGCTTATGACAAAAATAAATATCACTTAACAGATTTTCACTTGGCTGCTCTGATAAGAGGCTCCTTTTCAACCTCCTTTCGTCTGACTAGTACACAACATTTTGGCGTTTTTCCAATTGACTTAAAAATATTGCTTGTTTATGGATTGCTTATCAGGAGAACCATTTTTTATATTTTTTTTTTGGTGTCTCAGACTCTTATTTAACTGCTGCTGGAGGGCGGTTCGTTGTGAGGTCCTTGGAGAAGGGCCTGCAATTTGGCAGCCGCTGGGAAGGCACCCAAATCCAGTGGTGCAGCTCCCGTGGTGCTTTGTATATAAGCCAGAAGTCTGAAATTTAAAAAGAATTTTTAATAATTTAATTTAGGTATGGTGGAACTTTGAGGTTGAACTACCCATCATTTTCTTCTTATTCTTACCTCCTTAATTCCTCCAATGCATTTTGCTGCATAAGAATATAGTTCTTGGCCAACAGCAAGGTGGCTATTTTCGACAGCTTCCTCACAGATGGTGAATGAGCATAGGGAATCACACTCCTCAGTTCATCCAGAGCATCATTTAAATCGTGCATCCTTCGTCTTTCCCTGGCATTTATATTCAACCTCACAGTTTTTCCTTGGCGATTTTTCTGCTTGCCGCTGTTTGAACCACTGCCACCGGCTGCACCACTGGACACAGCCACCGTGGTGGTACCACCGCTAATTGCAATGGCTGCAATAGCAGCTGCCGTGGGACTTAGTGGTTTTTCCGGAGCACTGGGTCCTGGTTTGTTCTCATCCGTCGGTGGCTGTTGCGGCATTCCCATTCCCTGGGCATAGAAGCCACCCAGACCCACCGATCCAAGTGGAGTTCGACGGCCGGGGACGCTCTGCGGTGGACTGGCGGCGGGTGCTGGATGCTGGGCGCCCAGCATATTGGCGGTGGGTGGTATCGGCATATGTCCATGGTTGGGAAGACCGGGAAAACCAAAAGCCAGGTTCGAGGGGTCCATTTCTGGTTAATTTTTTTTTTTTTTTTGAGTATTTCCAGCTCTGAAAAAATAATGTTGAAGGGATGTGTAATCTTTTAGAGTAGTCCTTGCATCTCAAAATGGTATCTTACAGGGTTGCAATGGGGATGCTTAAATGGGGGTGAAAACTCTCAGCTGTTTGGTGGCGCCAGCTGGCGGAATTTTAACAAACCACAAGCTTACCAAAGCTATTGATAGATGGAGCGTTAATATGTTTACAACCTGATAGTTTAAAAACTTTATATATGGAGGAAATTTGTTTAAAATAAAGACGTATTTAATTTAAAGTTTATTAATGAAGTAAATACTAAAAAAAATTAAGAAACAACATTTTTTAAATACACAAGGATTTAGATTTTGAAAATTTAATTAGCAATAGATGTGAAATGTTTGATTTTATTATAAAATTTTGTTAACTTTTAAATGTGTGGAGCTTTTAAGTAGTCAAATTTAAACAGATAATCAAATTGTTTCACTAATATGTTTAAATTCTTCGATGCCAAGCACTATATTTTAAGCCAAAGGTTATTAATTGTTTTGAAAATATTAAACCAGTCTTTTTCGAAGTTGATTATGTAAAAAATCGCCGCAACACTTTATTTATCAGGTTGTTTATTTATGGCACACTTTAAGGATTATTTATTTAAATTAACCACAAATCACAAGCTCGCTGATGTATGAAGGAGATGCAAGCACTCGAAAGAAATTGGGGATTTAAACATTTTTAAAAATCGCACGCACCACAAACCAGGAAAAAAATTAAAATGCGGCTGCTGTGACAGTGGATTCTGATTCTGATTCAGATCCTGAATCGCAATCGGATTCGATGCGCGAGTGTGAGGTGCCCGGCAACAACAGAGCCGACCGCGATTTTGTGGTGGGTTATAGTAGTCGCATAACGATTTTCCGATTTTTCACTCCTCGCTCTCTCTCCTTCTCTCACTAGCCCCGTCTCTCTCCGACTCGCCGGCGTCTGTGTCGATTATAAATTTTTTTGCCACCGACGCCACCGTCGCCGCTTGGTGTTAATCTCTTTCTGCAGAGGGAACATTATGTGGCACTATATAAAAATGTGGGTCGGGTGTTGACGCCGGTGGTTGACGTTTAGTGGTTGTGCTTCGCATAATGCAGCATCCCCACCAATACTTAAAGCAATACTATTACCAATACTCTCAAAGTTGAATGAGTCATAGTCGAAACACTTAAAAAAAACTTTTAATAAGTAGAAAAATGTATAAAAAACATGATCATGAACAAAAACTTTCAACGAATAAAATTGGCAACTCAAAATAAAAAAAGTTTTTAATGTTTAAATAAAAAATTGTTACGAGCTATAAATTGAATTGGAACGAACAACAATAAACTTTTTTTTTTAATTTATTTAAAAGATTAAGTAGATTTAATACCTATCATAATTAGCATTTTTAAGCATTGTGTTTTTTTCTTTTCAAAGACGATACATATTTTGGAATTTCCTTATTTGTTTGTTTATACACCATTTCTTTTGGTGTATAAACTTTTTAATGCCTTTGCCCTGGCTGTCCGAAAATTCATTTCTCTTGTTGTTCAGGATTTTTATCGTTTCGCTCCTTTTCAACCCCGATGCCCTGCGCCACCCCTCTAACCCCTCAATCCCCGCACCCCTCATCCCCCTGGCCAATTCCTTTGTCTGTGATTTCAATTTCCATTGAAACTGAATCTAATCACATGCTCACTGCCTGCTGATCCTGGTCCGCCTGCCTAGTCCTGGATTCCTGCCCTCCCCCCGTTGCCCTCGGGGGTTGTTGAACATGGAATACGGCCATAGCCCGTGCATCATAGCACATCGGCTATAAAGCATACAGCATAGCTCAGAGAACGCCGCATCTGCATGGCATTCTTTTCGGGAGCGAGTGTGTGCGTTTGAGAGTTGCCTGGAAATTATGGTATCGCATTGTTCAAAGTTGGAACAATGCCATAAATGGCACATGCCAAATATTTTCGTTGGCAAAGGCATACCCTAGAAAAAGGTATGGAAATGCTCGGGAAACCTTACTATATTCTATGCCAATCATATAATCAAGCTTATTCTCAAGCTGGTTCCAGTAATTGCACTTATATACTGGGCATATTTTGTGTAACTTCAAGGGATAGCATTTATTCGAAAGAAAAAATTTAATAAATTTGTTGTTTTAGAATCGAAATATTTTGTATAGTTTAAAAATTATTTTTATATATCTAACATACAATTTTTTTTACTTGTTTACTTAGGGGAATGTTGTCAGGGTTGGGCCATGTTTTGACCTATGTCCATAACTTCTGAACCAATGACAATTCAGAATAAGTTTTTACATTTTTGGAAAGGTACAAGCAAGAGGAAGTGTTCACCAAAAAAAGAGAACAAAAAAACAAAAACAAAAAAAGTTATAGGCGTTTGAAAAAAAAAAAAATGTAGTCAGCGTTGGGCCATGTAGTCAGGGTTGGGCCACCTTCAGAAAATCGTTGACAATATCGTAACGTGGTGGAATAAAATTGAATTCAGGTTTATCTGACATTATTTTGTTCATTTATTTAATTATTTGGGATTTTACAGTAAATAAAAAATTATTCAGAGTTGTTTTTTCGTTTGTAGCGAGAAACACTAAAGAAAAGATAAAAATGATTCATCTTCTTTCAATCCATCGAAATATTTTTTTAAGAAAATCTATTTAATTTATTTTGCATATTTTTGCTACTAAAAACTTAAATATTACAACAAAAATCGAAAATACACGAATAAAATGTAAAAATTATGATGGCCCAAGCCTGACTACACAAGTGGCCCAACCCTGACGACATGCGGTATTAATCTATTATGGTATGATATAGCCAAACTATATCTCACAATGAAACTATATCTTAGTATTTTGTAAAAAAATAACTATATAACGTATTTTTATGCTCACCTTGCGGATGACATGTTGTTTTCTTGTGATATTCACCTTTTTCGGCCAGGTAAAAAAAACTTTTTCGAGCACTTTTTCTTCACGGAGCAACGACGCGTAGAAGAATGAAATCCCGAAATAAGTAGTCACGTGGAAAGTTTCGAGTGACCGATAGAAGTTTCTAGACACCCACAAACAGATTGTTCTAGAACGAATATTCGAAATATTGAGATGGCCCGACCCTGACAACGGCCCAACCCTGACAACATTCCCCTACATATTATAAATGTGAACTGTTTGACGAACATAATTTTATTTATGATATTTAATAGGGTGCTTTGTTTTACGGTCCTGTCTAAACTACTAATTGCGTGTATTTTTTCGTTAGTGCTGTGCTGCTAAAAATTTAAAACTGTAAAAAAAGGCCAACATTAAATTTTTAAATAACTTAAAAAACATATATTGGAAAAAGCCGATCAGTAGAAAAGATCTTAAGATTATGCTTTCTTATTTCCCCTTTTTAAACAACAGCATAATATCTTAAGGGGACCTACATTCGTATTATCTAGCTGGAGACAAAGTTTAGAAGCTGTAGCTTAGCATCTCTATCCTTCTGTCAACTGCAATACCCACTAATGACTTTCCACACTTCAGCCATCGCAGGATATTTATGTATCAGTGGCTAAGTGTGTGTTTAGAGCTGCCTGCAGTCGTTTAGTCCATAGAATAAGTCAAACTATGAGCTCAGGCGACAGACCTAATGACTTCGCGCATTATAAATTTAATAATTTGCGCTGGCAACTTTTCCATTTTCCCCCTTTGTTTGCGCTTCCCTCGTTTCGTAGGGGAAAATTATTGTGTCAGATGTTCGGGGCAGCAGCCACCGTATGCCATTATTTTCAATGAAATCCGGAATCTGGACAGCCCCTCTAGGCAATGCACCATTTGCTCCGTGATTGTGAGAGTTTTTTTTTTCTTTTTCGGTTGGGCTCGGTTGTATTTGCAATCGCAGTGCACTCTCCCTTATTGTAATTGTTCTGGGACTAATTCAGTTTATATACAGCATTTACATTGCAATTTACGGCATTCGGGTCCGGCCACCAAAAAATTATTTCGACTTTTCAACCCCGGCCCGCTCGAATTTAAATTTTCGGTTTTTTCATTTTATGGCCACATTTTTATCAATCCATATACATATAGATGAGTATTTGTCGTTGGTATCCGGGTCCCCAGGTCCGGCAATGAGGAATTTCATTATAATTTGCATAATTTATGCGCGACCGTGATTTGCATAATTAAGATTTGTACATTTGTGCATGCCAGTCATCATTAGCTTAGGTTCCGCACTGCGGACCAATTGTAAATGGCCGGCCCAGGGATTTTTTGGCCTCGTACCTCGCGATTCGTCAAGGGGTTGCCAGGGGTTAATGTGTGGCCCTCGAACTATGTCACTAGTATGGTTTTAAATCGCATTATTCAAAGGGAGCTACAATTTTCAATTTGACAAAAAAAATAAATAATAATACTTAAGCAATAGAATAACCTTGGGATTTAATCTGTATACATTCAGGATACAATCTTTAGTTTTTAAATTTATATTCAGTCAACTTTTGTTCTGAATGGTTCCCAACACTAAATTTAATTTAAGGTAACTAAAAGTCGAATTCTTATGAAAAAGTCAACCCTCAATTGTTCGTTAGAGGAAATTACAAATGCAAAAGCGGAGAAACCCAAACGAAACCCCAATTTAATGTTCGGGTATGCGCAAATTAGACAAAACCATCGAATCCTTGGTTGTACGAGGCTTTGGCAAAACTAACGGCACTCCATGGGGCAATGTGAATCAATCATTAGCATTTTATTGTTGAAAAACCAATTTGGCACATTTATGAACCGGCTTTCGACCTTTCGGCCGGGCATCGTTGTTCTCTCTTCGGAGATTCAGTTGATTTTTGGGCTTTATGGCTTTCTAACCTTATTATCGATGGGCTTTCGTTGTATTGGCAATATTTATGGCAGCCCATGACTGTTGGCCTAATGATTCCCAAGCGTACAGTTTTCAAGGTAGCAGACTCGATCCCAAAGCCACAGGAACACACGCACACCACTCTTGGCAGTCCCATATTTTATTTCGTTATTTTTATTGGCAGACGTCAACGAAATACAAAAATGTGTCAATTGTACGCTGGGGAAATCGCTGCCGACTTGCGTTGGAAATAAGACCCGAATGAAGATATATTTATCGCTCATTTCCGGCTTGACAAGCTTGATGCGCTTTTGCCATTAGCCGAAACTTCTTCATGGCAAAGATAAACTTGGCCCATTTCGGCTAACAAAAAGAAAAAACGAGAAGCATTTAGAAGATTTCTTTTTATTGGTCTCAAAAAGCAGGGAAGATTTTATAAAAGTCGTGGGTGGAAACACGAAAATATTTCTATGAAATAAAAAAATTTACATCCCAGTATTGTTGTCTTTTTCCTTTAGCAAAATTTTATCAAAATTTAGTGCTATCTAGTTGCTATTCAAATTACAATAATAAATACATGTTTGTAAAGCAAATAGAGCTAATATTTACAGGCCAGTTGTTGAATACTAATAGCCCTTGTTTAGTTTAGTGCATAGCAACACGAAAAATATTTCTATGAAATAACAAAAATACATATCCCAGTATTGTTTTCTTTTTTCTGAAGCAAAATTTTATAAAAATTCAGTGCTATTTAGTAGCTTTTCAAAATACAATAATAAATACATGTTTGTAAAGCAAATATAACTAATACTTATAGGCCAGTTGCCTAGTTGTTTAGTTGCCCTTGATTAGCTTAAAATATTTTCCGCAATATGGTGTTAATATAAACATTTTTGGCAGCCGGAAATGTTGTTTAGATCGTTTTCTTTAACTGCAACCCCCGCTCAAAAACATCACACTCTAAATAATTACCAAATCCCACATAAAACGTGCCACGAAAAAGGGAAACTGTAACGCACAGAATTTGATTTCGCCATTTGATAGGATTTCTCATCCATTAGCCGAACTGAATGGATTGCGTCGAGCTTTTATTGATTACATCTAATGCTCATCATATGCGCTCTTCCAAGCCAACAAAAAAAAAAAGACGAAATAA